TTGTACACCTCTTTCAGATGATTTTAGGGTTTAGTTAAAATAGATAGTTAAGATGTGACATAAGCAGATTGTTTTGTCTTCATATATTTCACCTTTATGATTGTTAATTTTGGATACTTTACACTGTTAAGTTTTAATCCTCTTTTAGACTAAAAGGGGAATTGTAGGGGAAGCTGTAGCCACGCCTGCTTAGGGGCTGGCTACAGGTCTGCCTGCGAGGTGTGGTCAGGGTGACGTAGAGTGAGAGGTGGTCAGTGGCTGGTCAATTTCAGTTTCAGTTTCCCTTTTGGCTTGCATACAGACCGCTGCCACGCCAGCTGGTTAGGTGGCTCTGTAAGTAAGGCTTTTCCCTATTAAATACCTTTGTATTTCTACCTGACTCTGTATTGGTAATTTCCCACTATAGACTCTGCTGTAGATAATTCAAACCGTGGTTTGCTTATTTCATATGCTCTCCTTTAGCTATAAGAGGTGAATATTTTTATGTCTCTTTCTGTCTCAGAAGCAAAGCCAAACAACCCCACAATTGGGCTATACTGCTCATATCTGTGGCCAACCCCACAACTGGGCTATACTGTTCTTATCTGTGGCCAACCCCACAACTGGGCTATACTGTTCATATCATCTGTGGCCTGCAGTTTCTAATACTGGCTTCACTCCTGCACAGGAACCCTTAACCGCCAGATCCAGCACAAGGGGGAAAAGCTAAGGGGTTTCCTCACCCCTTGTCTCCAACAGGCATGGAGCTGATGCCATAGCACCAGTGTCAGTAAAGAGCTTTGCAGGCTGATGTCAACACCATCATGAGAGCCCTGCTCCAGGGGCAGGGTTGTGCAGGGTGTCTGGAGAACACCCTCTTCCTGTTACTTTCCTGCTCACCGAGGTCCAGCTGATAACCTGGCTTCCTTTCACGACATCACTGGGAGAAACTAGACAAAAATGACCCTCCTTCCCTCCTATACCGTGTTCTACCAGGGTTCTCAAGATAAAGAAGGAAACATTTTGTGCACTGTACCTTTGTATCCAAGAGGAATGTTGACCATACCCAGAACCTGCTCCCCATCCTTCACTTCTGCTCTAACGTGGATCGGCTTGAGGTCAACCACGGTTATGATATCCCCTCTGGAGAATGACATGTTGTTTAGTGATCCTGAAAGACAGTATTTGCCACGAAAACAAAAGGAAAAACAACTCTTAGAGGTTGAAGTTACATCCAGAGGTTTGTGTTTCCCCAGGTAAATGAAAGCTTTAAGTAAAATGTGCAAACATTTAAGTAAAATTTGTTAAATGTGACAGAGAAGACAAATGGAGGCCTCTGAATGAATACAGGAGAAAGATGACTGGGTAAATCAGCATCTTTTAACAGAGGCAGACTCTTCACTCCGTCAGAATATGTAATTCACGTTGAAGTTAAAAATGTTCCAAGTAATTTTCCCCCCCGGAAGTAGCCATCATGATTTGCCTTGCCCAGTGGGCAGCATGGCCACCCCTGCCATGTCCAGCAGCAAGCCCTATTTTCCCTGTTCTCACAATGCAGAGGAAGTGCTAGGCGGCTCTCTGATGCAGAGGCAGAGTGCTTGCTAACCACAGGAAAACGCCAAGAACATTGACATGATTTTTTTTTTTTTTTGGTTATCACCAAGCCAACAAAAGACAATTTTTCAAGCTCACGCTTATCTATGCCTTAGATTTCATGTGTCAAATTGCAGTAATTTCTCAGCAGAGTGAAAAATATTCACTGCTCAAAAATAACATTTTTCCCCCCTTCCTAGGCAATATCGGTGAATTTCTCCCTCCTTTCCCAGCCTCCTGTCAAGTTAAAAAAATAAATAAAACAACCCTTCAAACAGCAGAAATATGACAACCCATCGCAAGGAGCATTGCTAAGCTGTATATTTCATTCTGCCCAGGGCTAAGGAAAATGCTTTAGCAAGTAAATGTATGTCTTCCATAAACAGAACGTTTTCTTGCTCTTTTCCAATACTCTACCTTCTTGGGAAAGAGTTTCTTTCCCCTTTATGGTATGTTAAGAAGAAATAAGTGCAGGTTTTTCCCCCCAGGCAGGTGAATCTGGCAGAATACTGATTGGTTTTCCTTACCCGAGCCCTAGTATCTCCCGACGTTATCTGGACAGAACATGACTCCCACGCCCACTACCATTCCTGATGGCTTGCAACCAGGACTGATAAGAAGACCTACATCTTTGGAACTTGCCAGCTTATGCTCCCCCTGATCCCAGAATATTCTCTCTCTCTCTCTCTCTCTCTCTCTCTCTCTCTCTCTCTCTCTCTCTCTCTCTCTCTCTCTCCTACCTGAAAAATACTTTCCATCGGTTACCTCCACTTGTCTGGGCAAGGAGTTCTGATTTAATGAATTGATGTAAGAACCCCAGGTTTGCTCCATGACGATGGGCTTGTTTCTCTCCTACAGGACATGGCCGGCACTGCTGGAAGCAGTGAGCAGACAGCAAAGCTGTCTCTTGTGAGCAGGTAACCAGTCACCTGATCATGACCTGGCCTGTGAGGCAAGTGTCATAGGGCAAAGGAGAAAGTAAGTAACTTGCCAGGAAGAGTTTGTTGGTTCAACGTCCAGGGCTGGGAGGGGCAGGTACCTGATTGTTTGGGATGAAGGATTTTCTGGAAAGGCTGGTAGGCTTGTTGGGAGTATCTTCTGGATTGAAGTATCCCGTGCAGCAGCATGTAGAACGTCACCCAAGAATCTCATCACTGCACTGATTCTGTGGTGGGGTCTAGTCATCTGCACGTCTGGCAAGCCTCCAGATGATGCCTCTGGTCCTTCAGCTACCTTCTGAGAAACAGGGTGCTAAGGGAGAGCATTGTTGCTTAGATTATATGCATTCGTGATTAATTCCGAATCACCAGGAATGCATAGGTGTCCCATTAGGGAAAGAAAGAAAAGCACTTCCCCTTGGAGTCATTTAACCAAGAGAGGGAACAGATTTGAATTCTCTGCTTCCCACTCCCTGTGTCTTCCATCCTCTGTCTGTTGTGTGAGCCTGAATCTGTGTCTGTCTGAAGAAGAGGCTTCTTGTGACTCTGTCCCTGTGCCCGGTGTCTTCCATCAGTGCGTGTCTGTCCCTAACGCCAGGCTTCTGCTCTCTGTTTATGGAACAGCACAGGAATACATCACACAGAGAAGGAATGGGACACTTTACAGACATCTTTAACAGAGTTTTACTGGGGACTGAGTCACTGACTCCAACTGATTCCAGCTGACCCAGACAACAGTCACCATTGATTAGCAACCAATATCCATAAATGGCAACTTTCAAATTCTATGGTGGATTTGAGGAAGTTGCTTTCAAGTTCTGTATTAGCTGCCGTCAGTAGATGATACACATGCCTTAGTCTGGTCAGGGGCACGGAGGAGCACATAATTTAAGGTTACAGCCATGCATTAGCTTAGGCTGTAAAAGCTGATTGCATGGGAAATCCAGGCGTAAGGCTGATTTTTACATTGTTTTCTTAAACGCAGGTTAAACAAACAGCTGGAGTACCCAATTGGGCAGGAGTTTTAAGTGGCCCCAAGGAGTGTTGTTAACTCTGGCTGTGAGGCCCAGCACAAGTTCCAATCTCTTAGAATGTGAGGTCTGTAGATCAGCACCACCAACATGGCCTGAGAGACCAATACAGGTCAACAAGCTACTCCCAACCTATCAAACTTGACTGTCCAGGAGTGGGGTCCAGTAAGCTGTGACCCTGCTTGGACAGCACCTCTGCCGTCTGCCAGTGTGCTGAGGGTGCAGACTCAGTCTCCATTCCAGGTCTCTTGGGCCAGAGTCCCATTCCCTTATCACTGACAGAAGGGTAAGGGGCTGTCTGTGGTGCCTGTTAGCATACCATAGCAGCCACTGGCCCCCAGGCCCCTTCAGTACCAAGAGTGCTTGCTACACATTTCCAAGTCCGTGTTGGCATCCTGGCTCTTGTCAGCTCTTCTCTCCTCTTCTTCTCTAAACTTCTCCAGCTCATGGACTTTCCTTCCTGCAGCTACTCAATCTCATAACTGTGCCATTCCCGCTCTGCTCTTTCTCTTTTGCCTGCTCATTTTGTCTTCATTTCCCACTCTTCTCACCTCTCTCTCCTTTGCTCTCTCTTCTGCGTCTCTCATAGCCAGGGCCAGTTGATATTATTTTAGGCTTTAAAAGGACTCTATTGGCACAATTTTAATTCCTATAAATACCTAAGTAGTAGCCACTAATAAACTTTTTTTTGTGCTAATGTTAGACAATAGGCCACTTAAAATCTTCTTTCTATATGTGCAAAGATCTTTATATTCATCTCACTGCTTTTGGAGCAAGTCCTATAAGTGTTAATTATAGTAATTACTGAGCTAAATGGTTTTTTAATATTTCTCAGGCTTTTGTTATCTATTGCCAAGCTGCTTTGCAGAAAGTTTGAAAAGTTGAAACTCTGGCTGGTAGATCAGGGTATCCATCTTCCTCCCCAGCTTTGAGAATTGCTTCTTTCGGAGTATTTGCTAATGTGGGATGCTGTCTTCTGGTTTCCTCAGTGGTGATGCACCTCCATTCACTGTGTAGCCATGACACCACGGGAGAACAGTTAGTGGGATTCAGGCATCTGAAGGCCATTTAGCTTTCCCCATGCCTGTTCCTGGAGCTCTCCCCATGCCCTGGGATATTCATGGCCATTAACCTTTCTCAGTCAATCTAAACTGTTCCCAGAACAGCTCTCATCTGATTTAGGGCAACATATGGACTTAACTCTGCTCATAGGCAACTGTTGTCAAGCCTACCCGCACTGCTCCCGGTACCCACTTCTTCCCTGGGTGTTTTATAGTTCAGGTATCACATGGCCCTCTAGTAATCCTGTAAATTGTGTGTATGTGTGTGCATGCATGTGTGTGTGCATGTGTGTGTGCCTCTGTGTGTATGTGTGTGCATGCGTGTGTGTGTGTGTGTGTGTGTGTGTGTGTGTGTGTGTGTGTGTGTCCAATAGTACCATAGCCAGGTGGACAAGCTTCAGTGAGGAAAGGGGCCTTAGTTTAGCTCTACTTCCCTACTGGTCAGATGTTGTCACCCTTCAATAACTGTTCAGTTCTACCATTAACCCTAGACTCAGCTCCCTCTGCAGTTTCTTTATGGACCTTTCACAAGATTTAAGAGGACACCATTGTAATGTCCTCATTTAAACTTGCAGCTGTATGTGTTTATTGCCTAGTTGCTTATTTCTCTCTAGAGCTAGGTTTCCTAGACGGCACAGGCTCCAAATGTCAGTGTCTCCTATCTCCTCTCAGATGTTGTTTGTGGCTTGGGCTGGCCTTTTGCAGTCCACATACATATCTCCTGAAAGAGCAGCTGTCACGCCAAGGCTTATGAGGGTCTCTGCTTTGAGCCTGACAGAAAGGACAAGGTGAAGGGATAGGGTGCTGGTTTGGGGGAGAATGATGAAGAGAATCTGCTCTTTTCAGATTAACTATTAGAGAGATGGGAAGTCACAGCCATTGGGTCTAAATGGTGGTCACGAAGGCAAGGACCTCAATAGCATGGCAACCCCACACTGCCTACGGGTCAGGGTTCTTCCCATCTTACATCACCACTAATATTGTCAAGGAGCCTCATCACCATGGCCTCTTCTAATTAATTGCCTCCTGCCTTAGAGTTTCCATTGCTCTGAAGAGACACCACGGCCATAGCAATTCTTGTAAAGAGAACATTTAATTAGGGCTAGCTTACAGTTCAGAGGTTTTACTCCATTATTGTAATGGTGGGAGGCATTGCTGGCAGACAGGGTGCTGAAGAAGGGGCTGAGAGTTCTACATCTCGATCCACAGGCAACAGGAAGAGAACTTAGTGCCATGCTGTGTGTGGCTCAAAGCCGCCTCCACAGTGACACATCTCCAACAAGGCCACACTTCCTCTAACAAGGCCACACCTCCTAATAGTGCCACTCCCTATGAGGGTCACTGACTTTCAAACCAACACACTTCCCCATGGCCTCACCATAACTTTGGGTATTAAGCTTCCTTAATGTATATATAAATTACCAAAGATTCATCTTTTAGCAAAGTAGCAAAAATTCATCTAAGCAATGAATGACTGTTTTTTTTTTTTTAAAGCCATTTTCCTTGTAGATACTGACATCTCTTTGAAACTTTCGACCAAGTCCAGGGAGGAGTGTTTTAACAGAACACTTGACTTCAACCCACTTTGAGTTTGCCGTGTCTCAGTTCCCTCCCATTCTCCACAAGTGACATCATATCTAAGGGTTCTTGGAGAAAATGTTTCTCCAGAAACTTCCTTAACATCAAACATAGCAGTCCCCTTGGGGGACTTGAGCATGAAATAGAAACTCAAGTTGAAAAAATCAGCCCATTCATAGACAGTCTAAAAGTAAAACAAGACCACAAAACTCAATGGGAGGAAGGTCTGGTCATTGGTAAGTTGTCTGGGTCACGGTATACAAAACTATTTCTTTATAGGAGGCAGCTTTTAATCAAAAGATTTAACAAACTAATAAAAAGTGAACTTTGAGCTCCCTTAGCTGACTGAGTCACTCGTGGACAGAGCTTTTGTGGGTGTGGATTTCCTGAAGAAACAAACTTCAGTACAAAGAAAACATTTGGAGCAGTGACTTCCTTTTCTAGTGGCTTTTAAATGAAAGGACTTTGCCTTGTAGATAGTTTCTTTTCAAAGCTCTCAACAGAGTCCAAGGAACAGTGTCTTAATGTCTTCCCTATGTTTTATACATTGTAGGATCTGTGGTTGATAACTATTTGGGGTACCTGTGTAAATTCTTCTTTACCAAAGTTATATTCATGCAGCACAGAGCGGAGCAAGATAACAAAGGTAAAAAGACAAGCAGACCACAAAGTCACTGAATCCAACACCATAAACTATGCCCTTCATAGAGGTGTTGGGTGACCATGTATCCAACAGTCACGTTCGGGAGATCAGGCAACATCTGCGCCATCCTAAGCACGAAAATTCAAGTTCATCTATATCAAGTCAAGAAAGTTTTGATTTGGAGACCATGGTAAATGGGGATTGAGAAAGGGAACTGGAGCCAAAGCCTAACAATGTATGTAGCACTCTATGGAATGGCTGCAACTCTGTCCACACATGGCACCCATCTGACCAAACAATTTCGACCTGTTCATGGTAAGAAGTCCCTCCCAGCAAAGAAAGACCAGAGCTAGGAAGACATCAAGTGGATCAGGTGCCACTCCAAGTCCAGGGCAATTAGCACAAAATGACATTGGATTTCTTGGGCACTGAAGGAAAGGCAGAAGTCCCCACTGGCTCACACAGTCTCCCTGAGACCCAGAGGAAAAGCTGCTCTTTAGGGCCTTAAGCCAACTTCACCCTCAGAGAGAGAATTTCTGCACTTCATTCTTATTTTTAAATTCCATTTTGAACATCCTGG